AATTTATCTCCTATATTTAATACTCTTGTACTCACAGATCAATATGAAAGAGCAGTAGATGCTACTGCTGCACATCATATTAATTTTTGAGGGAGAGAGGGTAAATCTGCGATAGATGGACTGTAACACCCCGACCCGGCCTTCCTTGGCTGTAGTACGAGTGTTCCATGTTCAAGTCGTATTTTCCGGCTGAACCTCCATTTAAAAGCCATTACCTAACAAATCTCCTCTATGAGGTTTGATTGCTAGACTATCTTATGCAGCATAAATTTCTTAGTATTTAAAACCATACTTTTCCTTGGTTTTAACTTAAACCAAGCCCTTGTCGGTCTGATGATCTCTTGCTTTCGGTAGTCCACTTGACCACCATTCAGCTCAGAGATCGATCCTTGACTCGGATCAAGCCAAGCATCTTATGCAACAACCGTTCCATTCTCCTAGACTATACTACTTAGAACTTGGCTAGTGACTATTCAGCTACTGACTAGTCAACATCTTAGCCATCCAGCTCAAGTCGTAGTCTAGTCGATACCCTAGCTATTTCAATCCAGCTACAGTCTAGCTAGTCCATACCTTAGCCATTTCCCTGAAGCGTAGTTGCATCTTGACTAGCTCTTTTGTCACTCCAGGCAGCTGGACTCAGCTGATCGTATACCAACTCCTCATGGTTGTACAATCAGCTCCCTTTAGCTTATCCACCATATCTGATCCTTTCTTAGTCATTCAACCAACCATCCCCACATGACTAGATCAGAGAGGCTATTCAGCCCCATGGCTCGACTAGGGCCGTCCCTTAGGATCGTCCGTTCGTCCATGTCCTTCCCTTTGCGGTTCAGTCTAACCGTACACTTGTTCTCCCGATGACTTCATGATCTCTCCCGATCATAGTCATGCCCTTCTCGACCGTTGTCAGAGTTCTCGGCTATTGTCTGACTGGAATCGTGAGAAATGGTCCAACCCGGATCATTTCATCCAACCATCACGACCATTTGCTCAACCATCACGACTATTCGCCAACAGTCGTGACCATTCATGGGATACTATTCTAGTATCGTGACGCCATGGTCAATCCTCCTCCGATCTGGCCACCTGATTCCACCAATATCCGGCTAGAATCCTTCCCACGTGCCTACTCATGATTTCTCACGGTCTTATACACGTTCTCTCAGATATAGTCATGCCTCTCTTGGTAATAGCCATGCTTCACCCGATTGTAGTCGGGAACATCCGGCTATCTCCCGATCGTAGTCCGTTTCATCCGTCTATCCTTGAGAGATCTCACGACCCTCGGTAAGGATCTCTCGTCAATCTAATTATCATGGATAATCTCTCGGATGAAACTCTTCCCTTCGGCCATTCTCTCGGCACGGTATGATTTGTCTCGGCCATCATCTCTGAATAGCCTTTTCTCTCGTTAATAGTCACCATATAACCATTTCTCCCGGTAATAATCACGAACCGGTCCGACGATCCTACGAGTCATCAGGCTATCACCGCGAGACTGTTGGCTAATCCTCTCCTCTTCCGGATATCTCTCCTTTCTCTTGGGCGAACATCTATCGCTCAGAATTTCTCTCGGATGTAGTCAGGCTTATCTATTTCTCTCGGATATAGTCGCCCGATCCTCCGATCATTCACATCACCAGACTGTACTCGCGAGACATCCGACCATCATCGTGATACTTCCGGCTATTCTTCTTCCTTTTCGGATATCTCTCCTTTCTCTCGGATATGGTCACGGTTTAACTGTTTCTCTCGGATATATTCACGAACTGATTTACCGATCATTCGCATCCTCCGACTATCATCGCGAGACGCCGACCATTCCTTTTCATCCTTCGGATAACTTGCCTTTCTCTCGGCTAAGTTTCCATTCTCTCGAACGAACATCCTTCTCCTGAAGTTCCTCCCGGATATGGTCACGGCTTAACCGTTTCTCTCGGATATAGTCACGAATTGATCCACCGATCATTCGCATCACCCGACTATAATCGCGAGACGCCGACCATTCTTCTTCATCCCTCAGATAACTTGCCTTATCTGGTTCTTAACTCGGCGATCCTCATTTATCCTGATTATCTCTCGGACTATCTCTGTTTCTCCCGGATGATCTCTGATTTCTCTTGGGTAAATCTATTTTCTCCCAGACAGCACTGAACTTCTCTCGGATATGGTCGGAGCACTCTGGCACCGACTGGACTGGAATCCGGACATCATATATTTTATGGGCTATTTTGGGGGTATATTGCCTTAAGTGTGAGAGATGACATTTTCCACGAAAATACATCTCTTTTATAGCCTATGGATGGTTTCCTTTGCCCCAAACCGTCCATCCTTCATACCCCAATCTCAGCCATTGATTCTTTCAATGGTCAGGATTGCACCATTTGGATCACGGGCAGTTACTTGACCATAACCACTTTTGGCCGAGCTCCACCAACCACAGCTGACTCACTACTATCTCAGTCACACCTTAGCTCAGTACCTAGCTGGTCAGTCTGCCCAGCTAGGTCAGTACTCCACCAGCTGACTAAGCTAGGTTGAGTTGCTAGTCAGCTAGTCCAGCTGGTTCAGCTAGTAGTCAGCTTGTTCAGCTAATAGTCAGCTGGTCCAGCTAGTAGTCAGCTACTTCAGCTCATCCAGCTCAACTATTCTTGCAAACTTGACCTTTCTGAATCATCTGATCCGGCTAAGTCATGGGGTCCATTTCTCGGCACTAGCTTATTCTTTTTGTAACTTGTTCATGATCAAAACTATGATCTGAACCAAGTCATCTTTTCCTCTATACAAACCAGCCCACTATCCTGAGCAGGTTCCAGGCCGTTACATGGACGACACGATATTATTTTCGTCACATATTAGAGTACTAATTATTTAATAGAATGTAGATAAAACAAAATAAGAAAAGGAAACAAAATATGCACCATAAGCAAGTCGGCATCAGGATTGATCATATTTATCTTTATCTCTGTTTGCTTCTCTCTTAACTTGAGATACTCAAGTTTCTTTTCAGATTTTAAAGTAATTATGCATCTACCTGTTTTCTCCAGCATCATAATGTATAGCAAGAACTCTATAAAATATCATGCAGCAAAACACAACTCTATATGCAAATGGCTTATGTACAAAACAAAACACTACATAAAAATATATATGAGAAGAGATCATTTCATCATCCTTACAGAAGCATCTTTAGTCTTTTGCGAAGTTGTTCTGACTCTCTGTTTATAACACCAAGAACAACGATCAAGAAGTTTTTTGAAAAAAAATGTTGTTGTTCCATGAAATCAAGGAAACCAATATGCTCATTTTCTCAAGAAATGAAGTAAATGATAGAAGATGCATGCAACTTAGGGAAGTAGAATTTTAATTAATGAAAGGATATCGGTCATAACTCACAGCCTCCGGACTTGTTGGGCCAGTTTCTTTTCTCTCTTATTTAGATCGACTTGTTGGGCCTGACTCAGCTACTCCAGCGAGAATGATGAGGAGAAGAAAACAAAGAGTTGAAAAGGTTTAGCTACTGTTTGTTGGAAATGAGCATATTTATTAAAAAGGTTTTTCTAGCAATTACCTAAGTCTATCAAGATAAAGAGGATCACCGACTCAATGAATTAAAAGAAATTGTTCGAAGATAATAACGAATTTCCATATAATTAGAAAAATGATATTTTTATAATATAAAATATGGGAACTATCTCTAAAAGAGAAAAGAAAAAGGAGTTCTCAGCAACTGACCTCCCAATCCTATAAATAGAAGATTTTGGACAGTTTGAAGACTAATTCGAAATCCTCAGAGAGCAAAAAAACAAGTTCTATAGTTTAAAAGTTTTCTAGTTCATATCCTAAATACTTTCAGTCACTTCGGTAAGACCTCTACGTCACACCACCTTTTTAATCATCTACGCATTTGAGCTTATAGTAAAGATCTATTCTCCAAAACTCATAATTGTATATTACTTATTTATATAGGTGATTTTCTGGTTCAACAGCGACTGTTCCGAGCGGGGATAGATTTTTATTGATCCTCACATATTCTCATAGTAAATATAACCTGCGTGAGAAATGCTAGAGGTAGATAAGGGAGGTGAAACAACGACATTAACAAATACATGTGTAATATTTATATTACTGCAGTTGGTAATATACGATTTACAGCAAATGATAAGAGGCTTATGAAGGCTGATGTGCCATCTTCTCATAAGAATTATAAAAGCTCGACCCATTCGAATACCTGGACAGAGGATATATCTATAGGCTGCACCTCTTCTAGAGATTAGTCTGAATTCTCCATAGACTTATGATTTTCTAGTTATAAAAAATGAATTATAAAAACTGATGTAGATATCATTTGAATCTCCAAACAGCTTCTTTTATTTAGTATAAATATTATTGACTTATGCAACTATTTTTATTAATTGATGTTAATATATATGATTTGCAGTAAATGATAATAATATTTACATCAGTTAATATAATTAAAGTAAGTATTTGCATTAATTAATATAAATGATGTTATTATTTATCTCGATTATAAAAATTGATATTATATATTTATATCATATATTTTATTATATAAATTTATGTAAATTAAAAATTCTGTGTTAATTTTTATAATATTATTAACTTAAGATAAATAATTATTTTATATTTATTATTCTGAAGAATATATTTAAATACATATATGTGATTTAACATAAAAAAATAAAAAGAAACTTGGTGTTGATAAATTTCTTTTATAAAGGAGAGAACTAATACTTTTCATTCTTTTTTTAGCAATGTGAAACAAATAATTATTTAGTTGAAAATAAGATATCAGAAAAATAAATGAATTTTTTTTATAAAAGAAAAAATTAGTATTCTTCATCTCTCTTTTGCAAGTCTAAGTTTTAAACGAATAAAAACAAAAGACACTAAGGCAAGCTGAACAATATCAACTTTAACTTTTTTTTCCATAAGATGTTATTTTTATGTGGGACCTATAAATTATAATAAATAAATTAGATTTTAAATTTATGGATTAGTGTTTTTCATTTCTTTTTTAAAATATAAAATTTATTAGACCAATTTATTTCCTTTTCATTCTTTTTCTTGGTTTTCTTGAACATTCACACATATTGAACAGGCCATGGTCCAATGCTCAAGACTCAAATGACAATGACACAATATATAAGTAGAAACCTCTATTATTATCATGGATTTAGCCACAGCAGAGTAGCACAACTCTTATTCATTACTCTCATTACTCTCTTCAAAACACAAGTTACAACAATGAGTCAAATCTAGCTCACTCCTTTTAAAGGGCCAAACTCAAATCCAGATATCGGAAGTACAGTCTCCGCCTGGATATCTCATCTCATGGGCAAGCGCAGGACCATCAGGTTCATCACCAAAGTCCACAAAGAAATCAGGGTTTATGGTGAGACCACCTTTCTCTGTATCAACATCAATCTGAATAATGTGTGATCCTTTATCCATTAGTTCAGGATAAAACTGACGGTCCCATGCGCTAAACAGCGAGTTTGTCGCATACAATCGTTTTCCATCGAGGCTCAACTGGATCATCTGAGGTCCTGCTCGTAGAGATTTCCCCTGAAAACACAGAGATGTTACAGAACAGCTTGTAAAGAATGCAACAAAAGCTAACATGCTCCAAAAAGAGTACAGCAAACCTTGATCTGAGGAACATCAAACTGGTAAGTGCTGCCATCTTCTGCAACAGCCTTAACAGGACTGCCCTTTTGTAGTAATCCTCCAACCCAAATTTGTCCTGTTAAGACAGGGTTTCTAGGGTCCTCGATGTTGTACTGACGAATGTCTCCATGAAGCCAATTCACAAAGTAGAAAAACCGATCATCGAGGGAGATCAAAAAGTCAGTGATAAGCCCCGGCATTTCCGGAAGAATCCAGTTCTCTACTTTCAGAGGCTTAACCGATATAACTATCTGAAAAACAGTTCAAATCGCATATTAATTACAGATTTTAAATAAACAAAAAAAAAGGAAAATCAAGAACAAGATCAAGAAAATAGACTTGCCTCATGGCTCCATGTGTCATTACTGTTCTTGAAAAATCTTATCATATTACTCGACAAGGCACTCCCAACATACCCTGTATCTTTAGACGGATCATGCAAGAACCTAATCTGCAACCACCACAATATAAAATTCAATTAATATTCCTTAGTGATCATCACTTTTTATGTGTAACATGTTGTTGTGAGTAATGTTACTACCTCAAGAGGCAAGAGACCATCATTTCCAAGATCAATAATCTGTTTCATTTCACCTTTAGGCCAATCATAAACATGTAAATGACTTCCATACAATCCATCAGCAACGTGCTGGAGATTGAAACCCTTGGAGAAAGCTTTAGGTGCTCCCCAAGAAGTACTGATCATTGTCTTGAAACGAGGTTGGTACCAAAAATCATACCCAAACAAAGGAGCATTTCCTGGTTTGTCCCACCTGCTTTTGACATTGAAATCAGAATCAAGAAGTAGAAACCCGTTCCCTTTAGCGTTTCCTTCTTTGTCACCAAGGCAAGATACCAACATATCGCCTGAGGCGAGGCAGTGAGATGTGTGTGGAAACGCTAATCCTGTCTTTTCAGATATCTCATTTGGCTCAACAACTTTATACAAAGATGGAGCCTTTGGTTCTGTCTTTGTATCGATAGCGTAAATCCGACCAGATCTTCATCAAAACAAGGAAAAGAAAAAAAACATTATATTAGTTCATCATCTAGAGATGTGAGGGTAAAACGGAAAGGTGGCTTAAAGAAGGATCTTACATTAAGCCTGGTAATACAAGAAAGCGTCTATCAGCAGAAGCATCTCCATGGCAAGAGCTGCAAGAGTTCCAGCCAGTGTGATGAAGCTCATCGCCTATGTATGGCATTTTCAATCTGTGAATGACACTTGAAAATGTTGGTGAGTTTGGATCAACATCTACCGTCGCCAAGTAGTCCGGTTTCTCTCGTCCCGTTCCTTAGAGAAATAAACCATTCAAACATATCAAGATGTATGAAAATACAGAGAAGCCAAGATTTTTCCAACATTCTTCTTCAATTGAATTTCACAATCAAGAACTCGCATAATCTTAAGCCAGAAATTGAAATGGAAACTATAGCTATTATCATTTATAAAGTACATGGACAGATCAAATGGTTGCCACTTGATTTTGAGTTGGAAGCTTATGAAACTTGACAAAAATATCATTGGGTTTTAATCATAATAATCTCACACATAAATGAAATGGAACCTAGAATAATATATAAAGAATATGGACAAATCCAGTGATCGTTGGTTGATTTTTAATTGAAACCCTACAGAATTTCAGTTAAGATTCTGTTGAGGTTCTTGTGAACTTAAAAGTAAGATTTAGTAAGAAAATTACTGTTTAATACAAATAGGTGAAAATGCAATTGTGTACCGGAGTAGAGGGCGGTGACGTAGATGAGCTTTTCCCGTGGACCGGACATGGCGGCGAGGGGGGTCGGGTAACCCGGACCGGACTTGCAACAACCTTTTACTCCACCATTGCTCACGGCCGTCGCCAGTACAGTCTCCGTCGCCATCTCTCTATCTATAACTATGTGGATGTGGTGAAGTTGCACGTCTCTGAGTAGAACGCAAAGACAAGCACAGGTGTGAAATTTATTAGTTGCAAGCTTTTGGCTGTTTATGAGTAAGTGTGATCGTGACTTGCGTCGTTGTTATCTTTATTTCTATATTATATATAAAGCCTGTCACGCCAAAATAATATCCTTGAAATAATAATTTACATTACTATTATTCTACTTTACTAAGAGTTTTAAATTGTACGTACATTGATACGTTAATACACCGGTTAAAACAGGTTAAATCAAGAGTTTCATCTGTATCTTGATTTTTTTTTTTTTTTTGAACTTTTTGTATCTTGATTCTTGAGGGAAATATTAATGCGTAACTGTAAGTTAGATGCTTAATTAGTTGTTAATCTCGGTTTACTCTATTTACAAACATCAACTTGTAAATTCACCTTACAACTAATAAGAAAGATTTTTGTTTTTAACAAACTCTAATATTTGGCATTCCATTACACACCCTTAGGTAGACCAATTTATTTGGTGGATAAGTGCACGTTGTTCTCTTGTTACTATATCCGTGAGTTGGTGAATGAAATTTAAATAAACAGATACACGTTACTAAATTCGTGAGTTGGTGAGTGCATGAGAGCCATTAAAAAGTGGCTCTTTTGTTGTTATCTAAATACTGATAATGTCCATCACACAACTCTCCATATTTCGTCTTTATTGTGGGATACAACAATTCGATTTTCCGTGACCCAAATCCCAAAAATCTCAACAATTTTCATAAAACAAATGTTCAACAACAGAAACTGGACTTACCAGAAGTCATTACATGAACATTTTCCACTTTTAAAATGATGATATCTAGTCGCATCTCGAACTATAATCTCTCTTTCTGTAATCTCACTTATATGTTTCATAACAACATGACAATCACCACAAACCCTAAGGTTCTTCACAATCCGTATAGGAGTTCCCTGAACACCCTTAAGCAATCCATACGCAACAGCAGATCTTTCACTATGCCAAAACAAAAGCTTTTCTTTCTCTTGCTCATCCATGTCGTGTAAGATCCAACTCGTATCAGGAACATAACCATTTCTTCTTCTCATTTCTTCCTCTAACTCCTTAAGCAACCCAAAGATCTCTTCTTTTAGATGATGAGATGTTTCTCCCGCGTAAAACACCTCTGTTTCTTTCCTAACCTCCACGCTACTATACCCTGGATCTTTTCTAACTTCCATGTCACCTAGTTTCCTTCTTGCTTCTGATACTTTCCCCCACAAACAAGCACTTGCGTAGACGTTTGATAAAAGTATATAAGTCGATGGATCGTTCGGTTTAAACCTGCTCAAGAGATGATCAGCGATTCTCACACCCATTTCACCTTTCCCCTGACGCTTACAAGCGCTAAGCAGAGCAGCCCAAGTTGGCTCATCAGGAGGAAACGGCATTGTATGAATTACATTCTCAGCTTCATCAAGAAGTCCAGAGCGACCAAGAAGATCCAACAAACATGTATAATGCTGCAAGGAAGGGCTAATCCCGTAGTCCTCGGTCATTGATTGAAAAATCTCACGGCCTTTAGCCACAAAACCGACATGGCTACACGCGTATATCAACCCCACGAACGTGACCTCATTAGGCTTTACACCGTTTGAAACCATCTCATCATACAAAGCTAAAGCATTCTCAGCACGCCCGTGCTGAGCCATTCCAACTATAAGCGATGTCCAAGAAACCACGTCTCTGTTTCTCATCCTACTGAAGATATCCTCTGCGGCTACAACATCGCTGCATTTAGCGTACATATCGATAAGAGCGTTATTGATAAACACACAAGAATCGAATCCTAGAGAGATAACCAAACCGTGAACTTGTCTCCCTGCTATCGAAGCTGCTAAATTAGCACAGGCGCCGACGATGCTCGAGAGGACTAAAGGGTCTAAAATGTCGACTCTTTCTCTCCTCATTTCAGTGAAAACAGAGAAAGCTTCAAGCCCTTTACCGCTCTGTACAAAACCAGAGATCAAAGCAGTCCAAGAATACAGATTCTTGATTGGTAATGCCCTGAAAAGCTCCAAAGCCTCTTCCTTTCTTCCGCTTTTAGCGAATCCAGATACCATTGCGGTCCATGAGATGGTGTTTTTCGATCTTATGGAATCGAAAACAACTTTAGCAACATCGGGTGAATCGCATTTGGCGTACATATCAACAAGTGAAGACTTAACAACATCGTCATGAGAATACTCAGTGACTATAAAACGGCAATGAACTTGCTTCCCGAGCTTGATAGATCCTAAGTTAGCACAGGCCTTCACAAGAGCCGAGAACACGAAATCATCCGGATGCAACCCACCGCTAGAAGAAAACAACGAGAGGGTCTTACCAGAGAGATTTGATTGGTTAAGAGCTGTGAGAACAGAAGCCCAAGCGATATTGTCTCTGTGAGGCATTTCGTCGAACACCTTGAGAGCATGAGAAGCGGCGCCGCATTTTCCGTAGACGTTGACGAGGGTGTTGGCCAAAGGGAAACACTGAACGATGCCGAGCTTGAAGATTTGGGCATGGAAGGCTTTTGCGGTGGTAAGGGTTCGAATCCTCGCGCAGTGCTTGAGTTGATGAAGATAGTGAGGGATAAGCATTCATTAGCTGTTGTCGTTTTCTGGTTTTCTCCAGAAAGATTATGTATTTATATGTTAAACACAAATATCTAAATTTACAATAGGGACCGCTTATTAGTCCCTTTATTAGATGGTTTGTTAAATATAAAATTGATTAGAAAAAATAATTTTGTAAAACTAATTTCATTACATTTAGATGTAAAAATGACAAAAGATTGTTCAATTTATTAGGTAAACAAAATGATTGGATTGAATGAGTTTTAAATATATGAACTGGTTATTGATGTTTTACAATTTATGATATATATAAAATATTTTTTTTAAATATTCATATTTGAAATTTTTCATAGATTAAAGAATTCGCAATGTACCAAGAAAAATAAACAAAAAAAAAAAAGAAATAGAACAAGAGAAATCAGAATTGATACCATCCATATTTTTTGAACAAGTAAAAGCTTTAACAATTATAATTTGTATCAACGTGTAAATTTACTCAATCTACTTCGAACTTTCAACTACCAAGTATCAAAAATACGAATGTAAAATACTAATACACTCTACTAAACATGAACGGGATTGCATCTTGCAGGGGGTTTCGGAGGTATAATCTTTAACCTTAAGGGTCTTCCCGAAATCTTCTTAAACTGTAAGGGTTTTGGTGGAATAATCTTCACTCTTAGAGGCTTCTCTGTAACATCCTCAGGTTTCATCACCACCACCGCCTTTCTCCTACCTCCGGCGCCGATAACCACCACTTTCTTCTGATCGACAACTCTCCGGAGAAACGGATGCTTCAACAGCTCCGAAGCACTTCCTCTCTCCTTCTGATTCCTTGCGAAACACGTCTGTAGAAACAGCCTTGCGTCCCAAGGAAGAGACTGTGGAATCGGCGGTGCGTTTCCATTCAACAAAGCAGCCAAAAGCTCTTTCGATTCCTCAAACGGCCAAGGCGATTCCCCTGTATACATCTCCATCACAACACAACCTAACGACCATAAATCTAACGATTCCTCGGCGACGCCATCGTGAACAGATTCCGGCGACATGTAAAGAGGCGTTCCCAAAAACGGAGAATCAAATTCCCAAAACTCCGAATCCTCTCCAACTCTTGTCGACATACCAAAATCCGAAATCTTCAATTCATATGACGATTTCAATTTCAATATCAAACCACCAGCATCGTCTTTTTCGTATTTATAACGAGGAAACACGAGGATATTCTCCGGTTTAAGATCGCAATGAACATAACCGAGGTTATGAACAGAGACAAGTCCTTCGAGTATCATAATCGTGAAATCTCTGATCATTGAATCAGACAATGTTCTTGTTTCCATGAAAGAAGATAAACTTCCTGCAGCTGCATACTCCATCAACAATTTGTAAACCCTAATTCCGTAATCATTGACTCCTCGCGACAGAGATGTCCCGAAGGTTCGCACGATTCTCGGACAATCTCTGAGTTTAGACAAAATCTGAAACTCTTTGTGGAGAGAATCGAAGTCTTGAGCGTAGGAGCTTTTTACGGCGTGGTAATACGGATTCGAGCCGTCAGGTTTTGTGAATCTGATGAGATCGACGGAACCATAAGAGCCTTTTCCTAAAGATTTTATAAACTCCATCGACGGCAACATGCTTCTTTAACTCTACTTTACTGTAACGGAAACCCTAATTGAAATCTGAATTTGGGAATTTTGTTGAGAAAGAGAGTTGTGAGTGAAATTAAAGAATGTGTGAAGCGCTTTCCTATTTAATTAGAGAAGAAAAAAAGAAACTTTAGTTAAGTAGAGAGAGTGGATATTTTGAAACAAAAAGGAAGTTCTTACACGGAAGATCTATCGTTGATTTTGCCATCAAATTGATCTTAACCGTTGGATCAAGCGTTTTATGCCAATACACTTCACGCCGTTTTATTATCCAGAGTATCTATTTCATAATAAATCTGATTAATTTGTATACTAATAAATGGGTGTTAATTTTTAATGGGTTTCAAAATCTATATAGGAATTAGAAAATTGTAAGAATATATACATTGGCATATACTAGAAGAAAATGTTGTTAATTGTAAAGTTGATTAATCTCGTCTTTGTACTTAGCCACAACCTTGTTCTGTCTAATCTTCATCGTTGGTGTCATTAAGACATTGTCTATCGGCAATGTTGTATCAGAAAACAGTTTTCTTAATAAAGGTTTTGGGTCCTAAACAAGCCAAAACATTAATAAGAACGGGTTAAATATACAATTACCGTGAAGAGCTCGTCCACAATCAAGACCTGTCCGACTTGAACGAGCATTCTGATGTCCTGTAACATTGTTTAAACACAGTAAATATAAGATCAAAATACTTTTTACCTGAAGTTGAAAAAGTGTTTTTTTTTTTTTACCATTTCCTCAGTTCTTGGGTAACTAAGCTCTTTAGCTGCTTTTCTTTACTGACATTTGATAATTCAAAATCTACTTTCTATGCTTCCTCTTTGTTTGGGATAATGATAGCTCCAAGTCGACGTTGATCCTGTGAATGAGAAACAAATTCGTACAACAACAAATTAGTGAACATAGCCTATACTAATTTTTTTTTGTCATTTTTTGTAATTGTACCAAGAGTATTCAAGAACCTGTCCAATAACAACGATTTGTTCAATCAATCTGCATCTCATGGCAGCTTCTTCAATCTCCAACGGTTCAACGTTTTCACCTATAGAGATGATAATGTTATCAACAAAAGTGTCCTTGGCACGGCCTTCAAGAACTGCAATTTGAACATGTTTTGTGACTCGGATTATACATACCTGTAGAGAGTACAATGTATCCTTGGCACGGCCTTCAAGAACGATGAGACATCCACATCGACGACTCCTTCCCGTTGAGTGATGAGGAGCGATACAACCTGTATCTCCTGTGTTGAACCATCCACTCTCATTTTAAACTTGATTTGTGGTTGATGGATTCAGAAGCAAGAACCAACAAAATTTGAGTCAGAAACCAGATTTAATCATCAATGCAAAAGCCCTACACCATTAGTGATGCTTGATGAATCAATAAAGTTAAATGAGGAAAAAAGGGAGTGAAAGATAGAAAATATGCATTATCACGAGCCAGGCAAACCAATATCTTTGCTTATTAGCAGAAGATTCAGAAGAAACGAGCTTGGTTGTTACAACTTGTGTGTAACATTATGATAAAACTTGTGTGTAACATTACGATAAAGAAGTAAGAACCAACAAAAATGTGAGTAAAACCAATAGCTATGCTTATTATTAAGATTGAACTAAGTTGTTAATACAATACTACCTTATAATAACCTTTCATAATCTGTGGGCCTCTGACTTTGACAATGCCCTTTGAACCAGGAGGGAGAACATCATTAGTCTCAGGATCTACAATCTTGAACTCTGTACTACCAGCCATTGGGTTCCCAACTGAACCAAGAAGACAAAACGAAAATGGACAAATGATGGATTAAAAAGACAAGACAGTTGTGTTCTATTATCTCTGTTCTTGAATGATTCGGAAGTTTAGTGTGATCAAGAGATAACTTTTAGCAAAAACTCAAAAAGGAAGCTTCTTAGCGTTGCAAGTTAGCACAGGCCTTCACAAGAGCCGAGAACACGAAATCATCCGGACGCAATCCACTGCTAGAAGAAAACACCAAGAGGATTTTACCGGAGAGATTCGATTGGTTAAGAGCTGTGAGAACAGAGGCCCAAGCGATGTTGTCTCTGTGAGGCATTTCGTCGAAAATCTTGAGAGCATGAGAAGCGGCGCTGCATTTTCCGTAGACGTTGACGAGCGTGTTGGCCAAAGGGTAACACTGAACGATGCCGAGCTAGAAGATTTGGGCATGGAGGGGTTTTGCGGTGGTAAAGGTTCGATTCCTCGCGCAGGGCTTGAGCTGATGAAGATAGTGAGGGATAAGCATTTTTTAGCCGTTGTTGTTTTCTGGTTTTCTCCAGAAAGATTATGTTTTTGTATGTTAAACACAAATATATAAAATTACAATAGTGACCGCTTATTTTAGTTCCTTTTATTAGATGGTTGTTAAATATAAATAATTTTGTAAAAGTAATTTTATTACATTTAGATGTAAAATATGGCAAAATACTGTTGATTTTATTAGGTAAATTAACAAAATGATTGGATTGAATAATTTTTTGAAAATATGGACTGATTATTGTTGTTTTACAATTTATGATATATATAAAATAATTTTTAAAAAATTTCATAGATTGAACAACTCGCAATTTACCATCATAAGAAAAATAAATAGGAAAGAGATAGAACAAGAGAAATCAAAATTGCTACTATACACATTTTTGAAAAAGTAGAAGCTTTCACAATTACAATTTGTATCAACGTGTAAATTTACTTAATCTACTTTCAACTACCAAGTATCAAACATACGAATGTAAAATACTAATATTCTCTACTAAACAAGAATGGAGTTGCATCCTGCAGGGGGGTTCGGAGGTATAATATTTAACCTCAAAGGTCTTCACGAAATCTTCTTAAACTGCAAGGGTTTTTGTGGAATAATCTTCATTCTTACAACATCTCCAACCCTACTCCATTTTCAACTCTAAATGTTATTTTGAAGTAAAATCATCTCCAATCCTACTTCATTTTCAACTCTAAAATAGAATAAACTTAAATTCTACTCCATATTTGGAGTAGATCTAAACTCTACTCTATTTTGGAGTTAAACTTTTTTATTTACAAATTAATCTTTTAAATTTAAAATAATTATATTTTATACTATTTAATATTTATAAATATTATAAAACTGATAATTATGAATATTTAAACACTATAATTATTCCTAGAAAAGATTGCAAAATACAATAAACTTAAAATACATAATACGTGCTGAAATTAAGATAAGCAATATAAATAAATTTAAAACAACAAATATTAAAAAAAAATTAATGATAAATTTTTTAATAATAGTAGTGTTTAATAAATTTGCATATGCTTTTTGTGATATGATGTAATTTTTATTATTTAATAAATATTTAATTTATAATTTTTGAAAAAAATTCTAAAGAATAAAATAAGTAGAATTTATTTGTAAATCTTAAAACTAAAAGGTGTTAATAATAAAATAAAATAAGAATATATTTAGAATATTTCTTTTTTTGGAGTAAAAAATGGAGATATACATTGGAGCAAAACACAACTTCATTTTAGAGTTACTCTATTTTGAAGTAGAAAATAGAGAAATACATTAGAGATGGTCTTATGGGCTTCTTTGTAACATCCTCAGGTTTCATCCCCACTGTGAAAACTAAAATTCGGTCTATAGAAGAATGAGAGTTTGTGGGTTTAAAGAGAGATCTTTATTAAGTTTCAGCCAGAGCTCGAGAGATACACGGTCGTTTAGGTCGTCGGAATAAGAACGCCGACCTAAACTGTTTATGGAAATAAAATCAAGAACTAGGAACAATAAGATTACTTAGTTTGCCCTAGGTCTCGAGAGACGATTTTTGGATGATTATCCAGAAACAGCTGAACCTTGAGAAAGGCTGCCTACGTACCCTTTTGAAGGGATCAAGCCAATTGTAGTTCATAATAAGGGAGTTAGATAGATGAAATCTAGAGAAAATAAGGTCTTCTCCAAGTGTGGAGATTTTTGGATGATTATTCGATGTTCTGAGAAGTGAATAACTTCTTTATTTATAGCCCGACAAGGTCGGTCTTCTGAAGATACCTTCTCCTGTTGAAATAGGAAAACTTCCTTCTTGATAAGGCCGACCTTGCGTTTTCTCCGGAACTTGATCAGATAAATAGAAGATTTCCATTTATCTTGCCGACCTAAATATTCTTTAGGGTTTTGGAATGGGCCTATCTCAATTGATGTAGGGATTTGAGGGGGTACGAAATCCATCTCTAACACCCACCACCGCCTTTCTCCTACCTCCGGTGCCTGTAACCACCACTTTCTTCTGATCAACAACTTTCCGCTGAAACGGATGCTTCAACAGCTCCGAAGCACTTCCTCTCTCCCTCGGATTCCTTGCGAAACACGTTTGTAGAAACGCCTTGCGTCCCAAGGAACAGACTGTGGAATCTGCGGTGCGTTTTCATTCAACAAAACAGTCAAAAGCGGTTCCCCTGTATACATCTCCATCACAACGCAACCTAACAACCATAAATCTAACGACTTCTCGGCGATGCCGTCGTGAACAGATTCCGGCGACATGTAAAGAGGCGTTCCCAAAAACGGAGAATCAAATTCCCAAAACTCTGAAACCTCTCCAACTTTGTCGACATATCAAAATCCGAAATTTTCAATTCATATGACGATTTCAGTTTCAATATCACTCCACCAAGGTCATCTTTTTCGTATTCGTAATGAGGAAACACGAGGATATTCTCCGGTTTAAGATCGCAATGAACATAACCGAGGTTATGAACAGAGACAAGTCCTTCGAGTATCATAATCGTGAAATCTCTGATCATAGATTCAGATAATGTTCTTTCCATGAAAGAAAATAAACTTTCTGCAGCTGCATACACCATCGATAATTTGTAAACCCTAATTCCGTAATCATCGACTCCTCGCGACAGAGATGTCCCGAAGGTTCGCACGATTCTCGGACAATCTCTGAGTTTAGAAAGAATCTGAAACTCTTTGTGGAGAGAATCGAAGTCTTGAGCGTAGGAGCTATTCACGGCGTGGTAATACGGATTCGAGCCGTCGAGTTTTGTGAATCTGATGAGATCGACGGAACCATAAGAGCCTTTCCCTAAAGATTTCATAAACTCCATCAATGGCAACATGTTTCTTTAACTCTACTTTACTGTAACGGAAACCCTAATTGAAATCTGAATTTGGGGGATTTTGTTGAGAAAGAGGATATTTTGAAACAAAAAGGAAATTCTTACACGGAAGATCTATCGTTGATTCAAACATCAAATTGACTTTGACCGTTGGATCAAGCGTTTTACGCCAATTTCACGCCGTTTTATTATCCAGATTATCTCATAATAAATCTGATTAATTTGTATACTAAGTGGGTGTTAATTTTTAATGGGTTTCAAAATCTATATAGGATTTAGAAAATTGTAAAAATATATACATTGGTATATATATATATACTAGAAGCAACCGATTTTAAGAGGTGCTGGTGTTTTGTCCACGCTACGCGTGGATTATATAATTATATTGTAGTTTTATAAAAAGGTTGTCAATTAATTTCGTGTTTAATGTTGTGATAAATTATAGAGTAGTATATTTGCAAGTAAATATCAGAAGAATTTATATATATATATGTATATATGATTTGTATAATAATTTGAAGGTAGATTAATGTATCTTTTGACTTAGTTAAATTTTTTTTTAAAAGTTAATGTATGTTTTTGCAAATATGAAGGGTAAAATTTGACCTTTTTGTATAATAATTTGATGTATATTTTTGTTATATTTTTTTTTATGTAAATAGTATCCACATGAACTATATATTATATTAGAAATCTATTGTCTAAATTTGGACATCTTATGTTATAATGCTATTTTTTAGGGAAAATTGAGGGAATGACCCAAGTTAATTGAAAAATTAAAGATTCGGAGCCAATAATTGATAATTAGGTCGATACATATTATACATAAAAAATTATGACTATTTTACCCTTATAGTTATTTGATATGGTTTGAGTAGATAACAATTCGATTAACATGCTAACTAATATGATATCGTGATAACTGTGTTAACTACGCTAACTAATATGATACTCTATTAGCACATTGAAATAAATAGCACGTTAATACAATAGTTATCATATTAACTGTGTTATCATGCTAACTAATATGATGCTCGATTAGTACATTATACAAATATCAAGTTAATATGATAACTATTATGTTAACGTTGCTATTATTTCATGAAAATTTGGAGTTAGCTTTGTTAAGTGTATAAATTACGCAAAATTATCATGTTAACAATGTTATCATATCAACAAATTATCGTGCTAACGTTGTGAGCATGATAATTATCGTGTTAACGTTGATATCACCATCTTTTACCCCACCGACTATCACCATCACTATCACCGGATATCACCAACACCACCCCCATCATCGATCACCACCACCACCACCACCACTGGTGACTCCATCACCACCACTACCGGTGACTTTATCACCACCACTACCGACAACACTTTCGCCAACACCGACCATCACCAACACCATCACCACCACCACCACCATCACAACCACCGGCGACTCCATCAACACCATCGACCACCAATAACCATCACCACTGCCACTATCGACATCACCGCCATCATCGTCTTTTACCATTATTCCCCATCCGCCACCATCACCACCATTATCAATTTCGAAATTTATATAAAAAAGAGACACACAAACAAATTCGTAAAGAAATTGAAGATATAAAAAAAATGATCTTGAACGAACTGGTAATGGCAGAGAAGATAAAGACATAAAAAAAAGAGACAAAATTATCATAAGGGTATAAACGTTTTTAGTATGAACAGTAGCGTCGAAAAATTGTCAGAAAGAAGTACCTAATTTCAGATATATCTGAAGCCATTTACTGCAATTACTCATTTTTTTAGTGAAACACCATGAGTATTACATTATACTTTAAAAAACTTTTTGCATAAGCTTCCCTTTCGCTTGATGCTTTTAAAAACTCAATTCTTACTTCGTTTTGTTTCATATTGTACCTTGGGATTTTGTTTTAAATTTTTATATAGTATGTATTTCTCTATTTATCAATTTTTTATGATTCAATGTGTACATAGATGTTTTATAATTAGTTCATATATTCAACGAAGAAAACAAACAGTAATTAATAATATAATCTAAACTATTAAAAGAGGATCATTGCTAAAATATGTCCAACTCTTACTATGGTATTTATGATTCATGCCATTAGGTTTACTAAAACATTTCATGATTTCATTAAAGGTAATAAGGTCATATATTATTTTTCATTAAACATAAAGTCCAATTTAAGTACAATACACTCTCATACACACAATTTCATCCTCTTTAAATTGTTAATCAAATTATTAAATTTATTGGTTTGTACTTAACGTAAATGAAACAGAAATTACAGTAACTTCAAACTTGCCCAATTTCATACCGAACCAATCCTAATATTTACGGGTTTGGATTACACATAAATAAAAGAACGATCAGCTTGAACCTGAAGAAATTTTATGTTGAATCAATCCTCTAATATCGACATAACCAACGCCCAAACCATTTCTTTACCAGAACATGCATAAGATAGAAAATGACATTGTTGAGTTAAAGCACACCATCGATAAACTAAACCGAGCCATTTTTAAGTTACATAATAATAGTATAATCATTAAAGCAAACCGATCAGCTTTAGGTTAGAACAAACCAAGACCAAACCATCAGTAAACCAAATCGATATAAACCTAACTTCATCATACTCATATTGTAATTTATTTGTAGGTTCGACTATTAATAAAAATTAAATTTTAGAGTAAATGTTAATATCCTAATTTTGCCGAAATTAGTTACCTTATTATTATGAAATCTTAACAAATCTCGGTGCAAATATAGCCAATTTGTTAAAACGAATATTCTGAGAATGATCAAACAACTTAATTACTACAGAATTTTTTTTTTTAATATATCTAATCCGAAATTTCCTAAATTTTGATAAGATTTACTTAACCTCCAAGATTGCATTGTAAACAAAGATTTGACCTAGTCATTATTTTTTAAATAGACTCTAACCCATGTATCATAACAAATCCGTAAAACACAAACTCTTATCATAGCAAACCCGTAAAACACAAACTCTACAATAGAACTGTAGGTCAAATACAACATAAAGTAGATGTTTGCTCCTTTTGTTTTCACATACCTTAGCTTTATGATATCAAACCTTTCAAAACAGAAAAACAGGTTGGCGAATCCAAGTGAAGGTTCTTCATACTTGGAAGCAATACATGACTGGACAAACAATGAAGCTGATTCTAGCAGATGAGAATGTAAGTAAACATTTTATGGAAATCAAATACAAGCTTTCCAATATTAAATCTCAATCTCATTGTGCAAATGCAGTCATTAGGGGATTGACAAGCAACAAATGCATTTCATGCTTCTGATGTCATGATAGATATTGACTTTGAGAAAAATAGTTTCATAAAATGTTAGTATATTTTACGGATTTTGTTATATCATAAACTAAATATGTAAAAATATTCTAATTAGAATTTTGTTTATTTTAATTTAAAATTTATGTTCTCTTATTTCATCATTATTATATTATGGACAGTAACCTTCTACGTACGTGAGATTCACTAAATAGTAGAAAGCAAAATATGTTCAATCTTCATATATACAATTCTGGCTCAGGTATATATACACACGATCCCCATTAATGCATTCAAACAAAGTATCTAGAAACAAGATGCATTACTCTTTGAGATAAGATTATCTACCTAATCCAGAATCTATCTCACAAGCCAATCAAATATCACTTCAGTTATAGAGCATGTTCTTTGTTGGAAGAAAACTAGGATTTAGCCCGCTCTACGTGCGGGGTAATTAATTATATATATATTTAATTTAAATTGTACTATGCAGTTTAGTTTTGCAGATATATATTTTATTATATTGGCTGATATGTTTATTGTCTGGTTTTATTGTTTGTTGAACTAAAAAGTGTTGTTATTTTTGAATGGTATTTTCTTTTCTTTACGTGTGATATGTCTTCTAAGTTTGTAGTTATGTTTGTATAATTATTGCATCCTTTGTCGATTATATATGTAAATTACTTTGTATAGTTAAGATTTCGACTTAGAATTCGATAGATTTTATTTTTGATGCTCTTATTATTTAACACTCTAAATATTTGATTAAGATGATTGTTAGGTCTTTTATTTTAATTAAATAAGACTCTTTAAAATTATATAGTAGATGAATATAAGAACATTCTTATTTTTGTGTTTTACCATTATATTTGTGGTCAACTTAGGAAATATGAGAAGTTATATTTTGATTTACTATAAAAATACTTTTATTTTAGATATATATATATATATATGTGTGTGAATTACTTAAAGTGTTGAAATGTTTTTAAATAATATCGAAACCTATAAGTTATATTGTGTGTATACATAAATTTAATTGTTTTTATCTACCATCGCAACTGGTTACGATTTTTTATATTACAAATGATTTTTATGAATTACGAATATGTTATTTTAAAATAATATCAAACAGAAAAAATATCAGTGTTGATGTTCAAATTATTAAAAAAAAAATAAACAAAAAATTAGACTTGTTAATGGAATAAAAATTGTATAAATTATTTCAAATTTGAAAAGAAACTAAATAAAATATCAACAATATAAAAGGGAAAGCCCAACTTGAAAAGCCCAAAATAATAAACTAAACGGTATACAATTTTATCTTTCTCTCGACTCTTCCTCTCCAGATTATCGAAAAGACAAACCTTCATCTCGACTCTTCTTCTCCCGACTTCAACGAAAAGACAAACCAAAAATAAGATTCATTTCTTGTCCTGCTTCGTTTTTTCTCCCCCAAATCACATACATCTCTGAACAGAAGTTCCTCTAATCTTTTGATCTACTTAAATCTCTATTTTCTTTCAAACACATCGATCTCATAGCAAAGTCGATTGATCTCGCAGTTTAAATCCTTCGATCTTGCAAATAACGAAGAGTTCCGATCATTTCATGCAATTCAATCATCGGTTCAATCGATCTGTTCGATCTCATAAATTGAAGATTCGTTTTCAGAGTAT